TTTTTTTTTTTTTTTTTTTTTGAGAAACACAATTAATGTTCATTTAATCATTCAAAATGCTGGCTGTAGTTACATTAAAAAGTTGCCTTTATCTTGCAGATTATTGTTATTTTTAACCAACTTTTAGGGTTTTAGAAGTATCTTTAAAATTTTACTTTATTATTTTACTGTACTGTAAACATGCATGCATAAACTCTGAAATCGCTCTCAGTTGACTGACCGGCTTTAGAATTGACCAAGTTTGTCAAAATAAGAAGTGGACATTAAAATATTGATGGTTATGAACTGTTTAAAATGAAAAAACCAAGTTATTTTATTCCAGTTGCCTTTAGACAAACTGTTTTGTCTTAGAAAATGTTATTCTGCAGCAAACGATTACAATGTTGTACGTTCCACATTAATTGAAAAACCCTCGCTAAAAAGCATGTGTTTGGAATATCTGAAGATTTTTCTCTTTGAGTAGCAGGAACTTAGGAACTTTGTTGTTACTTATCATTTTTCCTTGTAATTATACATGCACAATTTTAATGGGATGATCGATGGAAGGAGCAAAGTCGGCTTGGGAAAATGCTTAGATGCAAAACCAATCAGAAAGCTATCTGTCTGTTGTGTGTAGGCTCTGTCCTTTGTAAATGTGTCCTTATCGATACTCGCTATATTCCTTTGTAAATTTATTTTAGGTCAAAGCGGTGTGTGAATGTTTTCATATGTCGAAGGATACGGGATATAAGGTGGTTATTCATATGATGCCTAATTTACCAAACGTTGATGTTGAGAGAGATCTTGAACAGTTTGTTGAACTCTTCGAAAATCCTGATTTTCGGCCAGACGGGATGAAACTTTACCCAACTTTGGTTATACGCGGAACTGGTCTTTATGAACTCTGGAGGACTGGACGGTATAAAAGTTATTCTCCAGAGGTAAAAATTACTTGAAATTTCTGTAGTGAACCTGTTATATTGTAAATTTAGAATTCTGAAATGCTTTTTAAAATTTTTTTTAAGTTTTCATTACATAATCTTTATTATTTAGGTTTTAGTAGATTTGACTGCTCGCATCTTGGCTTTAGTTCCCCCGTGGACAAGAGTTTATCGTGTACAACGAGATATTCCAATGCCATTAGTGTCTAGCGGTGTAGAGTACGGTAATCTCCGTGAACACGCTCTTGCTCGTATGAAGCAGCTTGGCACAACTTGCAGAGATGTTCGTACACGAGAAGTAGGGATACAGGTGAACAAGTGTTTTTAGCAATAGTCGTTTCGTTCTCCTCTTTATTATAGTTTAAAGCCCACGTTACAACCGTCTACGTTAGCTTCGGTTTTTTATTATCCTCTGTCGTTAAAAATACATTATTCAGTTGTTTATACCATTACAAATTTAAGTATTGTATCTATACATCATTAGACAGGATGATGTAGTCACCTTTTTGCATGTTCGGCCTCTTTTAAAATACTTTCAGTGAAATCTTTTGAAAATAAAAGCAGTTACGTGGTTTTTGATTTAAGGAAATTCACAACAAAGTAAGGCCATACGACGTTGAGCTTATAAGAAGAGATTACGTAGCAAACGGTGGTTGGGAAACTTTCCTGTCTTATGAAGATCCGGAACAGGTTAAAGCATTTATATTTTATTATTGCTGTTTTTTTACAAATTTGTATCTAATAGCAGTTATTCTGATTTTATTACGCGTTACTTTCCTCTGTGTTTTGAAAAATTCTAGAGAGGCTTCTTTTACATGGCTAGTTTTCCGTTTATCTGTTCCTTGCTATTTTCAAGGACAAAAGTCAAAATAAAGTGGTGACTTCAAGAGAGGGATTGATGTCCAAATATATAAAAAATCTTTTTCCAAAAATCTGAAAGACATATTGTTTTTCAAACTTTTGCAGTAGAATATACTTTCATTTCCAAACTATTCATCTTTGTTAATATCATTCCTGTAAGTACTTGTAGCGCAACTACTCACAGCTTTTTTTAGTGTGAATTTAATTATTAAGTTTGGGATTTACTAAACTTTAAGTTCATAGAAGGAGTTTATTGTGATCTGGAGTTATTTTGAGCAGGAAGAATTTTGTACAATATTTAGTTTGTTCATCGAAGTCCAATGGTTTACCGGTTTAGATTTCAACTTTTAGGCCTCTCTTATTTAAAGGAGTATTCTTTTAAAGACAGTGATTCATGATATCACTGACTCAAAAACTAATGTCTATTCTCGCCATACCTTTATGTTCAGTTTTTTATTTTTACTTAGTTTGAAACATTTGTTTTTAAAATGCAGAAACGCGTTTTCTAGTTATATTCTTCTATTGAAGAGAGGAAAATGATAAATAAATATTGTAAGAGTAATTTAGGTTTCTCACCTTCTCATTGCAACTTTCTTTAATGGTAATTGGGTTTCTGAAAATTGTTACATTTTTGAGAAAATATTTTGTAAAAAAATTTCCTTTATTTTTACATCGCACTGTTTAAGCACCTTAGTTTTTAAGATTTGATTTATAGACTGTAAGCAAAATAAGTCTAGAGTAACGTTCCTGTACATTTGCAAGCTCGTTTGAATTTTCTCAGCTTTTTCCGCTGATTAGAATTAAAACATCATTAATAACATTTCTTTTTTTCTCAAAAAAAAAAAAAAAACTAAATTCTTTTGTGAATTGAGAGAAATTTTATTACAGCTTTATTCTCAAACTAATTTGAAAACCAGTGGACTACTAGATTTTTATTCTATTGTGCTGATTTCACAAATTAAATTATGAATTTGGCAATAGTTTGCTTTTAGTTTCGTACAAAAAAGGAGATTTTTTTTGCGAGTAGAGTGTTATTTCGAATCAAATTCTATTCACAAGAGCTATTCGTCTTTTAATATAAATCTGTACAGATTTTCCACTCTAATATGCTTCAAGATATCATTGATATTCTGTTTTCTGGGTCAGAGTTTCTGATAATATTTCAGCGATCCTTAATAAAATTTAAAAACGCAGTGGAAGAAGAAATGTAGAGGAATTTGAGCTATGAGAATAAGTAAAAAAGTGAGGTGGTGAATGGCAAATCTAAATTAAAAACAAGGCTTGCAAAAGGTGGACAAAGAATAGTAAAGACTGTGAGAGAACCATTAGTGGAGGAGAAGAACATAAAAAACGTGAGTAAAAAAGGCTATATCGGAAAAAAGTAACAGAAACAAGTTAAACATTGGCAGTCATTCAGAAGAATTATGTCCTAGTGCGCTTCTTCAAAATAAAATTTAGCTAAAGTCACTGTTTTTGCAGCAACTTCTTTCAGATTTTCACAGTTAGGAAAACGAGAGCACATACTTTTCTGAAAGCTCTTCAATCAGCTGAAATAGTTTTCTACTGTTACAATATCGTATTGAACATGCTTACTGAATTGAGGTCTTGGCTAAATGAGCATTCTTCTGCTCTGCTGGCTCGAATAATTTGGTTGAGAAAATGCATCTTGAGTTTTTTCTTAGTATTCATTGTCAAACAACAGGGCACTAGGTCGTATTTTAGTTCCTCTTCTCAACTGTTTCTATCTTCCACTAAACTCTGTCGAAAAACGGGAACTTTTATGGCGGACTCTTCTACACAAAGCATTTATGAAGAAGCATATCCCACCTGTATTGATATTTAAAAACTACAGAGGATAAGGCTTTGAAAGCTTTATTCTGTACTTGTGATATGCTGTATAGAATGGTTTCTGTTGCTTAGTGTTTTGCAACTTGTCAATCCGACTGAGGCTTATTGCGATCCGACTTATTGCGTTCTAAAGTGCTGCTAGCTTCTAAAAGTTATCAAAGTTTTTTTTCACAGTTTTATAAATCTAGCAAGGTTTCTGGCAAAAAATCTACAGTGGCGATCAGAACAAGCTGCACTGTCTTGTGAAAAAATAATTTTTTGGAATTTTTTATAGATATCTGTGTAAACGAGGTCTGAAAACTAAGCTTTTTTTGTGGATTGTCAAATCTTTTGATTCGTTTAAGGTGGGGATGCAAGCTTTAATGTGTTCGAAGTTCTCCAAACTTTCTAGTGTAGAAATACAAAAACTTTTTTTTTTTGCTTTTCGAAAGCACCTTTAAGAGTGGATATTGTCAAAGGCACTGGATGAAGTTGAAGCGTTACAATTCTCCTTAATGATCATTTTAGCATGATCATTTTAACTCATTTTTTTAAAGAAAAGCAAACTTCAGAAAAGATTTCTTATTGAAGAAACTTTTTCTTAACTTCTCATTTTCTTTCTTAAATAATATCGCTTTTTTTTTACCTTGGAAAGAAGTGAACGTTTTTAGGTCTAGCAGTAATTGTTTTTTAATATATCCAAGATGTGCAGTACTCATAGCTTTTCTAACTGCTAAATTTAGGTTGTTTTAGAAAAGGTTTTGGACAAAACAAACTTTTGAAGTGGTTTAATTTTTTACTTTTATTTCGCAATATTTGGATATTGAATTGAAGTAAAATGTATCTTTCAAAACTTTTTCGATGACTTTTTTAGAGTTGTACATAGTTTTAAACAAACTTTAGTTGTTATATACAGCTCGTTTCTAATGAGATATTTGTACAGTGAAAGGCTGCAAAGAATATTTTACGTTATCAATTGCATTCTATGTCTTTTGCATTCAGGAACGTTTTGTTGTTGTATAGAATTTTTTTATCATGTGAAAAAAGTACTGGGTCTTTCTATTTTTACTTCTTTATATCTTTGGTTAAAAAGCATTACGGTTTTTCTTCAATATTAGAATCTGTTTATTTACAACTTTTTTTTTCAACTTTATAATTTATAATTACCGGAAATAATGTTCATAATTTTATCGCCGTTGTCATCGGTGTGCCTCAATATTTGGTGACTGCGTCAGTGTTTTTCACGTCTTTCTAACTAATTTTCCTACTAATTTTATACTGGAGGTTTCTACTTTTTTTTGGGCTTATGCTGGAAGGCTCAGCCAATTAAAGTTAGCTATTATTATGCCGAAGAGGGAGTATATACAGGCTTTCTAATGCCAAGATTTTTGATCACCAAGTTTTGAACTTTGGTTCTTTCAAAGATAGATCTACTCAATTATCAAGTTCTAGTTTTGTACAGAGAACGACTTCTACTATTATCTAAAAACTGCTCAAGAGCGGGAAGGCAGAGACTGAAGAGTTGGTTTTTAGGTGTTTGGGGGTTTAGAAATGGAGAATATCAAGTTTTAGAAGCTAAGAGATTAGCTCTTATTTTGAAAGTGGATGAGAAAATTTTTTTTTATTTTTTCTTAACTGAAACTGATGCCAAATGTATAAAGTTTAAATTTAAAGACAAGCTGAGCTGTTAGGCAAGCCTGATAGCTCTAGTACAGCACTGTGCTTCTGAAATCTGGTCAAATACTAGGAATTTATTATATTTTTTTTGTCTTTTCTGCTGTTGTTACGCCTACAGAGACAGCAGTTTGCATTTTTTTTTTTTAATAGTTGTTACGCATTTAACTTAAATGACCACTTGGATTACCAGAAATTTAATAATAACCCATTTGTTTCGCTGTAGTTCTTAATTGTGTA